AAGTAAAAAAACAAATGCAAATCATAAATTTTTCACAATTTTCTAACACATCGCTACGCCATCGAAAGCAAAATTCTGTTCGACAGAAAACATTGTGTACAAATACAAGTGAGATATCTTAGCAATAGACGTCAACCTGGGCCACAGCTGCGATCATCTGTTTTTTAGAGTTGCTTATTTTGGTCAAAACTGCGCTTTTTTGACCTGAGTTGCATTAAATAGTCTCATACAACTTAGTAGTATTTGTGATTCAAATGGTAACATATATGCCCAAAAACTTGAAAAATATTAGATGATTGTTTTTTAAAAATGCTATTTATAAAATTGCGTTTTGATTTCGACATTAGAAATATTCAGATTATAAAGGTTTTTCACATATGTTTTAAGATTTAAAGCTTTGTACGGTAGAATGCAACAATGTGCTTGAATTTGTTTGCATCTTCGTCAGCTTATTCGTTTGCAGACTAGAAAAATGGCGAACAGCAATCAAAATACTAATTCAAAATACAAATCTTTCACTGGACACACAAATGGGTGCGCGCAGCAAAATCCAGTCCTAATGGTAAGTTAATTGCATCGTGCGGCGACGACAAGTTAAGAATTTGCGATACATTTTCAGGCGAATGTGTACGAACGTTCACCGGGGGAAGAGGTATGGGACGACAGCTGGCATGGCATCCAGACGGTAATCTGGTGGCATCCAGACGGTAATCTGGCGGCTTTAGCATTAAATTGTAACCGCGTTAAGATATTTGACATAGCCGAAGGCGAGCTAATACAGTGCATTCGTCGCAGGAGAATGATGTTGCATTTCACCCAAGTGGAAATTTCTTGGTGACTGGCGGCGATGACGATACAATAAGATTGCTTGATATATTTGAAGGTCGACCAATTTATACACGGTAGTAGTGCACTTTAGCGGAACCAGGTCAAAATGGACGGGCAAATTATACACTAACTGGCCATACTGACTAAGTTTGCGCCGTCGCTTTCTCTCCACATGGTAGACATTTTGCTTCCGCGGGCGAGGATCGACAGGTAATTTCTGCTTTGTATGTAAAAAAATTATATAATATAAATTTTTTCCTGTATTCAACAATTGCTCGTTTGGAAATCTAATTTGCATACATTTGATGCCAATAGCTCTCGCAACAAACAAGCCAGTTCTCAAAGAGTCCAAATTGATTTTAGTCATGCAACTGCTCCACATAACTCCGCCATAGACACACCAGTTGCTGGAGTACCAAAAAGCTGTGATGAAGGTATTTTAATTGATCCACGACAATCGGTGGCATATGGAATGCGTGATGGAAATTTTCTGGTGCTTGATAGCCAACATACTACAAGAGAGCCATCTCCAAGCAACTTTACCACACCACACCGTCAACAACAAGAGTCGTTAGATAAAGTAGAAACATACGCTTCTGCTGATAGCATCAGTAACATAAGCAACAGCAGTACCTCGTTTCTACACATGCCAAACAAAAGTAACAACAGCGATGGCCAGAGAACATCAAGCAAATATTTTTAATATTCATTTTTGCTTATCTTAAGATTTCGTTTGCGCTTAACTGCTTGGAAGGCTGCTGATGCTGCTGATGACTCTTCATAGAAAATGCATTGTTTTTAATTCATTAAATGTGATGTGTACATACGTATGTATTTCTGTTTGTATTTTAAACTATATACGTTAACAATTTACATTGTATTAAATTATTACTTGAACACGTGCAAATTGATCTGACCTAAAGATTTGGGAAAGTCTAGAAAAGTAATTGACTGCAGTCAAGATGACAACTTTTTATAGTGTTAAGCAAACCATTGAAAACCCCTTACTAATTAGGTATTTTTTCAATTGCATTGTTTTTCGAGTTTATTCTTTTAAATATTGATAAAACCTTTTTTGGATCAACAGTAGGTTTGAAAATTGACGATGACTACGTTTGTGTTTTGGTTTTAAATAGATTCTTTTTTTGTAAATCGACTTTGCCCTGTAAATAATAATCTATTAATATACATACTGCCATTACGAATAAATTTTAACATATTTTTCGTTTTTGTATATTAAGATTTGTGGTTTACATTAAATGTACGACGAACGCTAATTAAAAGAACAGATTTTAAATTAAAGAGAACAGATTTTTATATACATATGTATTCTACAATTTTACTTGTTCCATTTTGTTCTTTTTATGAATTTCAATTTTAATGAAATGTATTATTTAACTATAATAAATATTAAGGTGCATTCCAAATGCAAATGGTGCATTTTCGAATGCACCCTATATGAGCGTTAATAAAAAACCGGGATCATGGCACTTATAAGTTGTTAGCAAAAAATCATTCCTAATGATTATGTTTAATTTTTATTTCGCGTTCAATAAACAATACTTATATACACCAAGAGTTCTATTTTTCTTTCACAAAAAAATTGTTATCTGGTGATATTTTGAGTGATTATCTCTGATATTTTGAGTGGTGAGTAATTCTTGCTGGATTTATAATTTATTTTTGGTCCCTGAAAAAAAAAACCTATTACACTTTATTTAAAATAAAACGAGTCATTTGTATTTTCTGATAAAAATATATTTATTTAAATTCTTATTGCTCTTCCACACCACCGCTGAGGTAGCAATACAGGCGCGTTACCGATTTTTTTAAGGTGTTCGGTTCCCCAGGAGGCCTATTTTCACCCATATAAAATAAATATCATTACCTTAACAAAAAAAAATATATATGTAGTTAAAATATAATTAAAGGCTAATTTGTTTAGCGATTTAATATGTACAAAAGTAATACTTTTTGAAAGCTGGAAAATTAGTTGAGGCTTTTCTTTGTTAAGGTAATGATGTACATATATAAATAAGTATACAAATACATAATCAAAAATAAGAGAACGACTAAATAATACTGCTTGCAACAAAAACAAACAAAATAATACTTGTATTAAAATTCAGGTACGGAATTTTACGGATACATATTTTGCAAAGTATTTACAAAATATTTACATAGTAGTTACAAAACCGCCCCCAGTGACAGGCTTACAAACAAAGTAAATAATAATAAAAATAGATGTGGTGGGGATATAGGGCCTGCACTAAAAAAAATACTAGAAAGCTGCAAAGAAAACAAGCATATGAAAATATAAATATGAATATAAAAATATAAATAAAAAAAGAAAGGTCTTACGCCTGTAGAAAAGATAAGAAATGTGCAAATCAAAGAGCAAGGAAATGGGAACAAGGATTCGGACTTTGCAGACAGACACCCAGACTAATTTGAAATGTAAATGAGAAAAAATAAAGGTCTTACGCCCATAGAAGTGTGCAAATTAAAGAACAAGGAAATGGGCACGGAAGCTAACTACATGGGCAGCTCATTTCAAGACACCCAAACCGATAAAACCCTGTTTTTCAGACGGATTCGGACTTTGCAGACAGACACTTAGACTGAAAGCGAACTCTATTGGTGTGTTACACACAAAAACTTAATGTTTTTAAAATTTGGTTGGTTCGCTTTCTTATTGAAACTGTTAACCAGAAAATAAGTTCTTGTTCTTATGAAAATACATTTTAAAACATCGGGGTTGCAATTTTCGCAACAATAGTATGGCTCTACGTCTATCATTTTCTCAAATAAGATTTGGGAAAACCCAATCCTATGACAATTTGAATCGAAATTATCTGTGTAGATTTTTTCGATTTTGGACATAAACTCAACAAATTCATTGGGAGGACTAACAAGATGGCCTTTACTAAATTGCTTCTCCATAGTGAAGAAGAAATCTTTTTCAGTAATTCCATCTTCAAACCTTGGTAATGGCATTAAGCAATTATGATGCTTGAAATATTTAAAATACATGTAGCCGCAGAAGTAAACAAAAGCGCTTCGATGAAGAAAACTACTTTCATCAATATCAACCGAAATATCGATTTGGACATCTTGAAATGAGCTTAAACTAGGCCTGGGTAAGCCTTGAAATATTTGCCAGGAAGTATCTCTGACTAAAACATCGTCACAAGCTGTAATAAGGGTGCTATTAGAAAATGATTCCCACTTATCTTCAGACAAGAGTTCACAGTTCCCTTTATCTACGCATCTAATATACCCTACACCCCAGGCTTGCCGAAACGCTGCGGCGTTATTCCCACATCAAAGGACCCCCTCTACGAATATGACCAAAAAAATTTTCTGTTTTGTCTTGGCATACTTTACGTGTCAATAAAAAAGTGAATTCGTTATGTGACAAGAATCGCCACAAACGACGTAAACTACTAATATTTAGGACCAACCTTTAATAACACTATACGTATTGGTAATATCGCGACCTAAGTCGTCGTAAACTATAATGGAATTCAAAAACTGTTCGGCTATGTCAAGAAAAGTAAGTTGGTCTACAGTAGCTTGAAAGGGTTGTTTGAAATTTGAAATTTGAATTTCCTACATCCCCAAAGTATATACTATTAAAAATATGAAAATGACAAATTCGGCAGTGTTAAAAAAGGAAGGGGATCTTGAACTATTTAAAAGCCCCGAGCTATAGATAGCAAACATTGCGCTTGCCACAGAGTTACTAAAGACCTGCGATGCTAAATGCACGCTCATTTTATCAAAGGTTTTAGGTCTAATATGTGCCGAGGTAAGTTTATGGGTACAGGAAATATCATATTGAGACCCTTGTTCATAGAGATGCACAATATGCATCCAATCTATAGGGCGGCCTTGAAAAGTTACTTTATTTTTCTTGCTTTCTAAACAGTTTCTAGTACTTTTGAGGAGATGCGGAGAGTCGAAAAAATATACGATTTCCTGGCCATTAACTTCGAAGAAGGGTCGTTCTCTGGAAACTCCTACAATATTCAAAAAACTAACGAAATTCGACTCTTGATCGGTTACCATTTGGCAGGGATAAAGTCCAATACCCTGGAGCTGACCTATGGCTTCGAAAATATAGTTTTTCAAAACATGTCCTTTGCACAATTTGTGCACAAAAAAATACGCTAAGGGATGCGTCCAAGACTCCCCACCAATGCCTTGGACGAAAATCGTTAAGACACTTGAAGCAACTCTGGAGGTACGATTTTCTTCTCCATAGTCCTCCAGTCCTATAATTGAGTCCCTATTCCGTATCGTATTGTACATGGACTTGTAAAGACATTTCGTCGCAACAGATGGAGACATATTTCTGCGCATCTGTGAAACCACGGCTTCTCAGCTCCAGGGCCTTAATGCTGCTGTTTTAAACTCCCTATCAAACCTGTACCCTTTAGGAGTTCGGGGGGTATTCCTGAGGCAATTCCTCACGCATATTGCAAGATGTGGAGGCAATTTACCACATAGCTCTTCGATTTGGCTGTTCTGACTATTAACAGCCAAATCCGGGTAAACCTCCAAACTATAAACCTTTTTTTCTAAGATTGCTACCTTTTCTCGTAGCAATCCTAACTCCTCATTTTTCCTATCCAACTCTTCCCGGTATTTTCTGTTTCTAGGAGTCTCATCAGTAAGGTATTTATCCGTTTGTGTTTGCCTACTATTAGCCCAAGTTTTAAGAAGAGAGTGACCTAAAGAAGAATTTACTTCATCATGTGAAGCGGGTGGAAGGGACTCTTCTAAGGAATCTTCAACAATATTTGAGGTTGAAGCCCTTTCTGCCTCTTTGGGCGAAACAAGTACCGATTGAAAATCTTCGACGCCTAACTCTATTAACTATTAGTCTTGTGCGTTTGGGTCAACTAAAATATCTGCTTCTATAATACTACCTAAGTAATTTTCCCTATCAACTGTCACTGGGGGCGAACATACTGTTAAATTAATGTCCGGAACTGCCCATCTATAAAGGATCCGTCCCCCTCTCACCTTGTGGGAAAAACGCCTTTGGCATGCGAAAATAAACTTTGCTGTAGGGCCAGTCACACCCAAAAGCCGTAACCATTCACGCCGCCTAGTAAAAATAAAAAATCATGCATTAGATTTAATGTATGCACATATGGTCTTCATATCGCACACGATCTTCAAAGTGACACAACTCAAAATTTGGCATTTTTGATATTATGTCTAAAAAATGTACACCGAGCATTTATTTACCTTTCAGCAAAAGCTGGAACAAATGTTTGTTATAATTTGATGAAAAAAACCTAAGGTAAAGTTTTCCTTGCCCATATGATTAGCATGTACTACGAAATAGTTTTTCACATTTTATGACGAAACTGTTATATTGAGTTGTGTCACCTTTGAAGATCGTGTGCGATATACATACTTATGTGGATTCATATGTACATATGTACATATATAAGTGAGCAAAAAAGTGCAAGGTACTATGTAACTGATTATTAATCAGAGATTAAGTTAGTATATAATTAGGGTTTCCCAAATAAAGGCATATTACTTGAAATTTTAATTTTTCTCTAAAAGCAAATGAGAATGTAACATGGGAAAGCAAAAACCGTAGTTTAAAAAGTTAGTGGGATGTAAAAACAAAAAAGGAAGTCAAAAAGAACTTTGTTTTTCGGATATATTTGTCATTCTTTATTGGCACAGATATAAATATTGAATGAACTAACATATCTTAAATTTTTACAAAACTACCATTTGTATGCAACCCTGCGAATATGCAAGGAGATGTAATTTGAAAAAT